TAAATTAGGATTTAAAAACACCATATGTATGGTCCTTATGGTCTCTACAGATCACTTACAGTCACATCAGGGTTCCCAAGAGGTTTTCTGCCAAACAAAAATGACCTGTGCGATATCAGAATTTTTTTTTTAAGGGTTTTATTTATTTCCTCATTACATACATGTTTAATTTATAAAATTCTCCAACATAGCAGGAAATCCACTGACCTCTACATTTACCACGTTACCCAGGTGTGTTTAAGTGTCAGGGGCAAAAAACACCCCCTGAAATATGTACGTTCTAGTAATATGACCCCTTGAAATGGACACTGAAAATCAGGCATCTTCTTAAATTTCAATAAAACAAAATCAAATGTGATTTCTTTAACTTCTCACAAACTTTGTCAAAGAGTTTGATGTTATCACATGATGAGGCCGTGTACAAAAAAAGTGCATTTAAGCCAAATGGAGACAGCCACACACTGGCTCAAATAATTGAGCAGATGTTGATTTAAGATTTTTCTTTTTTCCAGATCAGTTTTTTTCTTCCAAGGTCAAGAATGAACATTTCAGTTAATATCCACTCCCTAAACCTCACTGAATATGGGCTCCCATCTTACAGACACTTCCTCTCCCATATTTCTCAGTCCACTGCCTTTTAAAAGCGCTTCACCTGCCCTTCCTCACTCCCACACCCTTCCCTTTAGTTACACGTCTCTAACCATTGCTAAGATCACGGCAAAGATGAGGAGAAATTGTCTCTTTTGCTTGACAAAGGGCAGACAGATATGCAGCCTCAGTCTGTGACATTTTCTTTTTTCACCGCAAAATTGAGAAGAAAGGGCAGAAGCTGAGAGAAACAAAAGAAAGAGAACGATAAAGTGAAATGCTTCTAAAAAAAAAAACCTTAAATTGAGGCAGAAAAGAGCAGCGTGAGTCTAGAAGAATTCAGCTGCACTCTGCTTGCTCAGCACTGTGGTTATAATTCTCCGTCTTTGTATCATCAAACCCTCCGCTGTGCCCTCATCCTGCTCTCAAGGTCAATACTTGTTTCTTCTTGACAGATGTCTGAGTAAAAAAACTAAACAGATATATTATGCTTTCTTCCTGTGTCTATGTGGAGCCACCCCCACAGGTAAATAAACACACAACTCTTTCTGTCAGAGTTGTCTGTGTGAAGAGCTGAGTCAGGTTGGAGATGACACACTGAGCTGGGTGACGTGTGACCATAGTTGCAGGGTTTACTGTGGCATTAGTAGGGTTTTGCATTTAATACCACTTATCAAGAAAAAGTCTCATTCAGCGGCTAACGTCTTTTCTCACTCCACTTGATTGTCTCGTCTTTTTACCCCCGTCTCTTTTCTTTTCCAAGAGGGTGACACCCTCCCAACCCCCATCCAAGATAGTGATCCCACATGCACACTTTGTTACAAAATCAGCCTTTTCTGCCGGGGTGGACAGCTAGACAAATGATTTTGTCGGCCGTGCGAGGCAGGGGGTAATTTTTAGGTGAGCGCAGCGCTTCAGAAAAGAGTTGGCGCACAGAAATTAGAGGTTGTCAAATGCCGCATGTCTCCATTGATGGCCCAGCGCGGCCTCCTTATGTTAATGTGACATTTCAGCAAGAGGAAATAGAATTAGAAGAAGGGGGTGGGGAGGCCGCTGGTGGTTGTTGGATTGCATTGTCACATATGAATACCACCTTTTGTTTTCTTTTGTTATCTTGAAGAAAAAAATAGTTCCCGGATGCAGACCTAGTGTAATAAAAATAAAAATGTAGATATAGGTGTAATGGTACGTGTATTTTTCTTGAATTACCTCATAACAAGAGTGGTTACGATACAGTTACAATAAGGATAATAATACAGAGGATTCTGCTGATACAGTATCGGTACAGTATCTGTCAAATAGAAGCAACAAGCAGGAGATGTTTATTTATTCACTTCAGTTGTGTTGTTATGTTATGTTGCATTCTTCTTTACTGTGTTTTTTTTTGTTTGATTTGTTTTATGCTTGACACTAAACCGAGTTTCTCTTCATTGACTGTTCACAGCATTTGAGTGCCTTTTATTGTTACAGTTGAACTTTTGCCAATCGAGCACGTGTACAGTTTTAAAAAGTTAATGGATTTTTTTGTGTGGATGATTTCTCTGCTGTAGAGAAAACATACCGAATCATGACTCCAAATATGAAATTCATATCAAGCACAGTTACGCCCTCGTATACAGAGAAGTGATCTCTTAAATTAAGTTACAGATCTCTTCTTTAGTTGTCATTGACTTGCTTTTACTGGTGTTGAATAACTCTTTTTTTTTCTCCGCTCATTGTCTTGAGAAGGCTTATAGAACTTGGTTTTAGTTGCACTTTAGTGGTGATTACTTATTTTTAAGGAACGAAATTAAACCTGCTCGTGTTCAGGTTTTTCTGATTCAAGGGTTCTTTAAAACACAATACATGTTGATTTGTCGTCAACTATGTTGCGTTTCCTGTATGTTGTTTTTGTCCTTCTGTCGTGGTCTACTCCCCGTATAATGTGTCAAACCAAAGCTAAGACGTTGCCTGGCTGCTGTTTTGGTTAGGAGTGATGTAATCTGTTTTCTGTGCAAGATACCATGAGGATGAATTCATCTTTGGGAAGGGCTGGGAGTATCTGTGGTCCTCACAGTACTGAGGTCATGTGGTTTGGAAAGGAGTTGGGCCGAGTCTCCTGGCTGCCTGTTTGTACTCTTCCAATGTCTTCTGCAGGTGCTGTCCACACAGCTGCAGACCAGATGTTTTTTAGCTGTGTGCTGGTCAGTGTCTGTGACCTCACTGGTGACAAATTTTTAGTCTCATTGCCATGTCCGGAGATAACTCTTTTTCAGTTTAGCAGTAAAAATGTTGTATCTAGGTGTCTTGTAGGACATAAAGTCAATATATGAGGAAATATTTTCTCCACTGTCCAAAAATTAAAACATTTTGTTGACACTTTTAAACCACAGCAACGGTTGCTGTTCATAATACGAAATTAGATAAAAATGCAGGAAATTTCTTTTCTTCCTGCACCAAGTTTGGAAATGTGTCACAATTATGTGATCCAACAGGAACATTGACGGGTAAAATAAGGATGACTTTATTTTTGACCACTCATTACGTTACTGTGAGTGTAGTAAAAGGTTTCCAACAAGTATTAATCTGCTTAAGATGACAGGAAGAGAAAGACATGCCTGTGAATGTAATTGAGACATCGTCAGGGAAAACTGCTTTGCTGAGATTTGTCGGGACGTTTTTGCCCTTTCTAATGCTGCTATTTTGTCTTTTGTTATAATTGCAAATTTTAACAAGCAGCTGATGATGCAAGTTTCACCCCACCTATCCAGTTTTGCATAGGTGCAGGGTTATGCTTCGCCTGTCATGCATGCCTTACTGAGGGCATCTATAGTTGAGTGTCAGGTTCCCCTGCTGCAGTTTAATATAGAGCTCCCTACTGCCAGAAGGTCTCATGGGTGATGGAAAAAGTGCCTAGCAGCCGCCCCCACTCCACCCTGCACACACGGTTCCTTGAGGCCTCGCCAGCTCTACAATTTAGTTCATGCTGTTTCATACTAGAGGTGGGTGACATGGCCACAAAATGATATCACAGTATTTCAGGAAAAGTTGCAATAGTGATATTTATGAAAATATAGAAAACAAAACTACTGAACAATGTTTTATTGCTTGCAGCTTGCAGGCAGCAGCATTTAGAAGTGCAAGAAATGAAGGGTATTTGTCATTAATGACAAACTGCCTAATTCAAAGTGTGACTCTATTGGGGGAAAAAAGGTGTCAGTGTCTTGGGTTGAGCTTTTTAACATTGCTTAAAGGTCTCCTTTACAACCATGTACCTGCTACAGTAACATCCATTCACTGTTTGCTCTTCTTGTCATATGGAATGCAACCACTGAGTTCTCTAGCAATGCTTGGTTGACTCATTTGTTTACTTTGGGGTCACATATGACCATCTGCTAGAATGTGCTCCTCACGTGCCTTCTTAGCCTGGTTGTACTCGAAGGCGTGTTTTCCTGTACGTGCTATGGTGGAGAATGTTGAAGTAGCTTAGTTTTATGTGCCAAATCATCATCAGAGGTTTGCTGTCAAACATGTAAGAGCTTGTCTTGTTGTGCACGCTGGGGGAAGGTAAACACTGTCTTACTATGTCAGTGATAGTGTTATATGACAATTAATTTTTTAACATTTTGTCACATTAACTTGTATACCAGTGTTATCGCAGATCATATGATTATGGCACAAACGTCAAAGTGCGTCGTCTTTGCACTTTTGGATTCACTATGACCGTACTCTGAGGGTAACCTGGAAAGCAGAAATATGCCCTGCAGCAGCTGACCCTCGTTTCACTGTCACATACCAGGACTTGCAGATACACTGGTTTGATTGTATGCATCGGGCTACACATGGAGTAAAAATGGGGTGTGCTTGAACATGTGTATGAGTGAGTCGGCAGCATGTGCGTGTGGAAGAGAGAGAGGTCCATTAGTTTTATCTGACAGGGGGATCAGATCTAAAGGCGGCATATACTTAAGCCTTAGTGATTCCCCTGTATCTGGTCTCCTGCTCAGGCTGCTCTGTTAGAGAACAACCTCTGAGGGGAAAGAACAGAAAGTCGGTGGCCTTAACCTGTAAATAGTGCAGTGTTTAACTTTTGTCTCCGGCTCATAGACTAACTTGCACACAATCACAGATTTGTTGTTTCTACTCAGAGCAGTTTGTAGTAGGAAAAAATGCCATTTTCTGTAGAAAGCAGGAAACATTAATGCTCACATGTTTTTATACTCAAAGGCTGTGTTAATATTAGCCAAGTTACGCAGTTGTTTATCTGTAAAAGACAAACATTACGCAAGGCAAAGATTTGTATGCTACATTAGGCTTTTCCCCATAAGTCAAAATCAATATGACAGTGATATATCTAGCACCGTTCTTTTTAAGTGTCACTGCTCTGTTTTTATGCAGTTGCTTACCGCACTTTACATATTTTTGTCTTTCAGAGATCAACAGAGTGCGTAAAGACATGTACAGCGACACAGTGAATGGCCTTGTGGACAAACACCCACTGGAGCTGCCCGAACCAGTCGGACCCATCGTTCACCTGCAGGAAAAACTGTTTGTGCCTGTCAAAGAGTACCCAGATGTGAGTACCAGGGTTACACGTCTCTCACATTTGCTGTTGCATCACATTGCTAATAATATCAGAGCATTTGCCTGAATGGTTGCTGGATTAATATTTAGACTGGAGCCAGAGGAAAGTGTATTAAAGAAGAAATCTTAATCTCATCGAGAAACTAGATTTTATTTTTCATATAAGTTCATGTTAACAGATAAAGACATTCTTTCACACACTGGTCCTTGTGCAGAAATACCTCTACACACACTGTTGGTCCTCTTGCCTTAGGCCATGTGTCTTTGTGATGTGTCATCATGGGAACGACAGCTGCTGATAGTTCTGCAGTCTGTCAGCACTGAAGACATATCTCATGACTGTTGTAAGCACTTGCTCACTGCTCATGCACTCTGCTCTCAGTTCTGTTCTTTTGCCTTTCGGTTTTTTGCTCTTTTTAAAAAATATATTTTAGTTGATAAACATGCAGTCCTTGACTTGTTCTTTTTACTTTATTAGCTGCCCGACTTACACTGTGTGCACCAAGTTGTTAATGTACTACTGATACAACTTTGTCAGACTGCACACTAATTTGGTCCCGGTCTGTGGAAAACGCAGCATGCTGGGGTGTTTATGAGCCAACTCAGCAGCAGATTAGTGCTGCGAGAGAAAGCGGGGGATTGAAAAAAGAAGCATCAAGAAAAGTAAACTGCAATTTCATAAATATTCAGTAAAAGGGAATGAAAATCTTTTAGAGTAACCACTTGATTTTTACTGTGATGGAGAGATGGATACACACAGTTGGGGCAGGGGGGGAAGCAGCACACGGTGGAGGTACCATGGTGTTTCTAGAGATGAGGAGGATGGTGGCAGCACAGAGCAGAGTGATGTGTGTCTGCGTGTAAAGCTTTGGGACGTGTGTGTAAGGCTTTTACCACAGTCGGCCACATTTATGTGCTCATGTTAATCTTTGACGCACACATGAATGATTGTGTCACGTCCTGAGAAGCAGCGTTTCTCTTCATAATCCCAGCAGCTGGCAGCAAGGAAATGAATGGAGGGAGGTGACGAGGATAAGAGACACCGTAGAGCAGGCCAAGGCTCAGTCGGGCATGGATTGCATTTTCCCCCTGACAGAATTGATAAAAGGCACCAGGGACTGGCTAGGATCAGCTTAGCTCCATCTCACCCTGAGACCAGGCCCAGCGTCTGCGCTCAGGCTCTTAAGGGACTTCCAGCCAGTTTAAGTGACCCTTAAGTGTTTGCCTTGTAATTGTGACATGTGTGGTCATAGCTGATGTGCAGTTGCCTATAAGAGCATGGTGGTCGTCTTAGTGAGATCATCGACTGTGACATGCTGTTTAGAGATGATGCCTGCTTTCAGTTACTGCAGAAGTTTCTGTGTTCTTTGTGTGTGGGTTTTGTACTGCACATGAATGCAATTTTTTATTTTATTTTATTTTTTTTTAAGCGAAGAAGTTCAATAAAAATGTGTGAAGCAGTGGGTGCCACCTGTGACTGTAGAGATGCTAATGAAATAACACACACACAATCTATTAAAAGTGCAGCATCCGCAGATGACCCTTGGTGTACCCTTCACTCGCTTTGCTGCACTGCTTTGAGCAGAGCAGGGCTGTAACTCTTGTATTCTGTTTATAAGCTGTTTGGAAAGCTACTAAATTAATTAGGCTTCCCCCTGGTGGTCAAGATGACTCACTGATGACCTTATCAGACACAAATTAGCACACCCACTGACATGCACATAAAGAAGTGTGAGCACAGATGAACACTGAAACTCAGTGACACAAAAATAGGACATTTTTCAAATTATTTGTTTTCTGCTTTCATTTGGTGAACACATTCAAGCATGGCCATTCAGTCTGTCAGCAGGGAAAGAGGACAATGGCAGACTTACTGTTAAATTTAGATGTGATGACTGCAGTTGGGAGAAATCAGCAGCAAGTCCAGATTAAATGATTGTTATTTTATTTATTTATTTATTTATTTATTTTAGCTCTCCTGTTTGGAACACGTGCAAAACTTCCTCAGCATGATTGCCAAATCATATTTGTGTAGGTGCCAACAGTAATCTTGTGCCAGATATGTAATTTTTTTTTAAGGCTACCAGTTGAAGTTGAAGAGTAGTCATCCGTTTGATTGTGCTGCTGCTCTCGCTGCTGTTTAGGATTTTTAAGTTAGTGGACAGAGAGGAAATGAAATCTGGCATTGACTATTTGAGCAGCAGACAATAGGAGATAAAGTGTTGCTGCGCGTTAAACTGATTTCCCAATAAAACAGTTAAAATGGTTGTCTTAACACGGAGAGACAGCGGTTCTACAGTTTGTGCTTTTAAAGATGATAAAAAGAAGAAGCCTTTAGTCTTTTAAGAAAAAGGGGGAGGAAGCACGAGAGGATAGAAAAGAAGCAAAGGGAAAAATGTCCCTTTTATCCCCATCTGCCCACTTCTAACGGATAGGAAAGTGTAATGAAAGATTATTAGACTGGGGAATTTCACCATCCTTTTTACATTTCTGTCTGATTTCCCAGAGTCCTCCCACTGAAAATCCATGTATGTGTGGCTTGCTGATACAAGTCTAGGCTCTCCCAAGAAAACGGAGAATGATGTTCCAAGTCTCCTGTTTTGTGTTGTTGGCATCTACTCACCTGCCGTGGAACATTTGTCATCATTCATGCCGTTTCCCCATCTGTGGAACTCTTGGCATCTACTTTTTCTCCTCTCAGTTTTCACTTCCATTTAAAAACTCCCTTTATTCATACTATATCCTTAGGCTGAGGTTACGCGCTCTCTTACGCTTTCTCTGTCAGATCACCTATGTTTACCCTGCTCAGGTTTCACCAGTAGATAATTAGATTGTCCTGGTGCCTGGATGCAGTGCGGCATGTCAATTCTACCAAAATAACTTGCCTCGCCAGCACACTCCTACTCTAATTCCCTTAAGTGTGTCCCTCTTCTGGCCCGTGTGCCCCACATCTGTCTGTAAATGTGTTTGTGTATGCGTGCGCCTCCATCACTCAGTCTGCCTGCGCGTCTGTCTCCCCCACCCCCTCGCCATTCTTCAAAGTCAGCCATTTCCCGATGTCGTCAGCGGTGCAGAACACTGCGAAGCGTCACTGTGGTGACTGCATCTTGACTGACAGCTGAGTCGCAGGCTATCTGATAACTTCAACCTTCAATTAAATGCTATCTGTGGCTCCGCTTCTCTTCCAAGCACACGCTCGCATACACATTGATAGGCAGCTGACTGACAGCTCAGCATGTCATTTCCGTTGACCTTGAGGCGTCTGATAGGATGTGTGACATATCTTTTTAAGATGGTGTCTGTCTCCACTTTATTCCCAGTGTATTTGTATGTGCCAACTCTTAAATGCCCAGGTGGGTTGTGGGCAGGTCACCTGGTGTTGAGAAATGCTTAGGACTGAAAACACACGCGAGAGGTGGGGGGAGACACCTCTGCTGTGCTGACTCTGTGAAATGAGACCCTCAGTTGGATGTAAGCTGTTGAGCAAGTGGTAAACAGGACCGTCTGAACTTGTCACAAGCTCGGGGGCATCCACAAGACGAAAATGATCACTTGTATAGCGAAAATTGTTTATTTAAAAAAAAAAAGGGGGAAAAAACCTAGCTAGGGACACCCTAGCTAAGTCTCTGCTGTTGGTCTTTTCTGTTTGTCTAGTGTTCTGGGTGTTGTCATGGCACTTAAGGTTGTTTACCTCAGTAATGAAATCCTTTTAAGCCCCTGTCCCATTTCCACTCTCTCACCACACCAGCTGTCTCCAAACCAAAGAACCTCACAGGAGCAGATGTTTGAAGTCCATGCGAGTTTCTATTTTTTCTTATTTTTTAAAGTTTCTAAAAGCAAATTAGTCGATCTGTAAACCGCAAATAACTCGTCTCCTTAATAGAAGCAAATATTTTCTCTCCTTATATTTGGAGAAAGCACCGGGGGGATCACCAGCCTTTCATTGTTCCAAAGAATTTAAGCTTCAAATGAGGTTTTTAACTGTTAATCTTTTTGCAAATAAGAAAAAAAAGACAATAGAAAGATACTATATTTTCTATACATTGATGAGTTGGTTTAAAAAAAAAAAAAAGGGAGAGAGAGGGAGAAAAAGTCCATTAACTATTTGAATTCTGGGTGTGTTTGTGTGTGTGTGTGTTCATGTGTTCTGTTGGATCATGGTGCTTCACTGCAAGGCACCCAGATTTGCGAACAGCAAAGAAAGAGGCTCTGGTGGTTTGAGCAGACAGAATGTCCTGGCCCTCTCTCTTTCACTGCGGAAAAATTGCCCGGCCAAACCAGCCAGGTCCCTTCACAGGGAAAGTCATTAAGCTTGCTCCCATGAGGGTGTCATCACTTATCATGCCAGCTCCTGATATCCTTCTGACCCCCTTAAGTCATTACGAGTCCTGGAAATGTACCGCCCCGCACCTCACCTCGACACACTGGTAGAGCGGCAGAGAGGAGGATTTTGATAACTATAGCTAGCCAGCCATGCGTGATGCTGATAATTTGATGAACGGATGGTTTTCCAGTTAGCCGTTTGATAAGAAGGTAATTACAATAATAATTTAAGCAGCGAGAACTCTATTTGTTGTTGTCAGTTAAAATGACGAAGAGCAAAAGTATAAGCTATTAGACGTGCTTCCGTTACCGCACTAATGCCAGCTTGTGTAGCAGCAGCTTGTGCTTGCATACTTTGGGTGGATGGTGCCACGTGCTGCTTTGGCCCGTCCGTCTGTGCATCATTAAGCTGACAGATACGGAGGGTGAAAAGTGAGAATCAAGGACAAAATGAAGCAGGTCGACCACACCGGAATCAAAGACTGCACTGCACTGTCGTGTCAGCTTGTATCAATAGTGCTACACTACCTGCATACATATACTAGATCACACTGATACAGGATTTTTGAGCAAATACTAATATCCATGCCTTTGACTTAAAAAAACAAAAAAACAGAGATAGCTGGCAAGACCTGTCCTGTTTGGACTCTGGCTCAGGTAATAGAGCGT